GATGAGAGGAGATTGCTCGAATAAGTTGAGGAAGAGCCTTTCAGACAAAGGGAATGGGATCTAGGGCATGACACACATAATTCTTGACTACACTGCAATGTGTTCCCTCCTCCACTATGATAAGCCTATTTTTCTCCTTCCTATCAAATAGAGCTGACTCTAATCAGCCTCTGTCGCCCTTTTCCCTGTAGGATAGAAACTGAAAACTCAGACCCAATGCATTCATGACATTAGTGGGTGTAGAGAGAGTGCAAAGGAAAGGATTAGAAGAGTCAAAGGATCAGTACCACTGAGGAAACTTGGCTTCAGAAAGTTAAATGACTTGCCGAGGTCATAACTATGAAGCAAGGATTCAACTCCGTGTCTTAGGACTCTCTATCCAGTATTCCTTTCACCAAGTTCTCCCAATTGTTGTGTATATTTGCTCAATAATTGCTAATTAGAACATACAATCATTTGATCATGCTTCAAGTAGAAACCTTTCCTTCCTTTTCCTTCTTCCCCAGCCTGTAACACCCATTATGCCCTTTCATGGGTTTGTAGTTGGTAAAATAGTGAATGCTCTATTCTTAGCTACTGATTTTCCACTTGACAAAAGACCCATTTTCCCTTCAAGTTAAACCTGAACTGCATTCAGTTGTTTTTTGCCAAAAGAAGTGGAAATTGGTTCCAGCAGAGATGTTTCCTGTTAATCATAAAGGTTTTGAATGATGTTGACTAGTGGTCTATTAGTCTCAGGAGCCAGAGTGCTATAGTCAAAGATACTACAAATTAAACTTCATTTCCCTCATAAGTTTGAATTTCAGGACTTCCCAGTCTGTCCAGAATGCAGACACTATATTTGAATATTATTATGCTCTTAACCAAAAATAAAACACCTTTCCTCCTTTTACAATACTACAACTATTGAATTACCAAAAAAGTTTATAAATGTTCATTAGTTTTATTTCCCATTCTATCTATACTCATCTCTTCCCAATCCAATCTAATTAGAGTTTGCATGAGGATTGGGTAACAGGAAGCATTAGAAAGCAGATTGCCTTTCTTCTTTTCCTTTTCTTTTTAATGAGAACCATCTGAAATGAGCCCAGTGCAAGTGTTTCCATGTCAAACACTTGAAAGCCAAGTGAACGCATCTGTTAGAGTGTTCCAGATGCAAGGTGGATCTGGATAGATATATCTGATACTTAACCTGATAAAGCCACTGGTCACTTTCCCAGGGATATACCTAATCAAGCTTATGGATTTCAGCCTTACCCTGTTGAAAAACCTTGTATTTCTAATTCACAGCAACCACTGGTACCTAGCAGGTACATTTCCTACTCTGAAACCCAAAGGAAGCATTTGACTAGTTGAATGTAATTGTGGTGACTGATGCCCTTTTATGTTATGATGAGATAATCTCATATCATCAGTTATCTATTTTTACAGTTAAATAAACTATCCCTGAGGAATTGATTTAGCGGGTAATATGAGGGCATATAGATGGCCTCACTGATCTATCCAGAATAGATTGGCCAAAAGAGTCACAGGAGACTTAGGATGATGTTTTGAGGTAGAAGCTTGGCATGCTGCATCCATTCCCTAAAAAGCCTCTGATTCAGTTTTCAGAAAGCATCATGGATCCTGAGTTAGTATGGGGCTGCTTATGCTGGGTGAGGGAATCACATTTGGGTTCTAAATTATGACCAGTATCTGGGCATTTGGCAACTATCACAGCCACAATGGGAACATATCTTTTTCCAACATAATCATGACGTCATAATATTAGAAAGGAGTTAAGGTAGAAGTGTGATTTGAAAAGAACAACCTTAATTTCCTTGGTTGGGGTTCTCATTGGAGAATTAAGGTATTCTGTGATTTTGTTATCTGTGGTTTGTGGAAGATCACTTATCTCTTCTTGACAATTCAGTCTCCATTAACTGAACAACTTACCACCCTGTACTGGGTATATGGATGTGAGTAGATCAAGGTCCCTCAGAGAGCTCTAGGACAAACTGATGAGGGCAACAACCAAGTAGATGATTAATGACACTTGGTGTTCAAGAGGTGTGTAGTGGCTCGGTGGGGTCAGTTTAACACAGAAGGCAGAATTAAAAGTCTCCTGAGACAGTGCAGGGAGGTGGAATAAGTCTGGGGAAAGCAGGGCAACTCAGGACTGAGGAAAGAGCAGGACATAGCAACCACATTCCTGACAGAATCCACAGGGAGAGGTCCCAGCTGGACATGTAGCTCTACCAGCAGTGAGAGAGTCTGTGGGCAGGGTGGGAGTGCAGCTGTGAGGGAAGGAATAGGCAAATAGAGTGGGGCGGGGTGTGAATGGAGCTTGAGTGGGCAGAGAGGAGCAAAAGAACTAAGGAGACTTGGCCTTACTTGAAAACAGCTGGCACCTTTTGGCCTTCAGTGACTTGCTTCTCTGCTTTCACTGGTTAAGGGTGTCTCCACAGCTGTGCAAGAGGATGAGCCCCAGAGGTGGCGCCACATTGGCTGTGCACCGCTGAATCTCTGAGGGGCAAGTGGAAGGAGCACAGCAGCCTTTTAGAGATGGCTCCTGTTGCAGGGGAGGGAGCTGGTGTGCCAGGCAAGTGCTTTCCCGCAGAGCTGCCCTCTGACCCACAACAGATAGGACTTTTGATGTTTAAAAAATATATAAGCATAAAGCAAATGTTTTCCACTTTCTGAAGACAAATGTCTTTTACATTGGTACAGCTGAAATTCAAAGAGGATTTTTTTCCCCTAAATAACTTTGTCTTGTAGGATAATGTCTTTGATGTCTTTGGATAATAAATAACGGAAACAAGGACATACACTTATTAATTTCATAACTCAGGGACTGAAAAAGAGCACATTAATTTACTTTTATATTTGCAGATTTAAAACATAGAAGATTTAAGTTATGTTTCCCTAGGTAGATTTCCCGTTTATATATACGCTCATGTCCTATTTATAGAAATATACAACTGCACGTTTTGCTCCTCAGGGTGTGGGAAGGGGGAGACATACCCCACTGCAGCCTGTAGGTGGAGTTGTGGAGCGCCCGTGAGTCAGGATGGTCCGGGACTGAGGTGAATTGGGGCTAAGAGTAAGAAACATTTACCATAGTGGAACACTCCAGGATGTTGATAGTTAACTGTGAGTGTGACTTTGTCCGGCTGCAGTACAAAGTCCTCTGGTCACTATTGTTTCTGAATATTTGAAAGCAATTTCAAAGCTGCCTGCTCTTCTGTTAAGTAAATAAAGGCTTAGTGTCAGCCCAAAAGAACAGCTAACCAGATTCTGCTAGCTGGTGGCAGATTTAGCTGTGAATATAATTCCCATATGAAATTGCTCGATTCTGGCCCTGATCTCATCCTGCTTGGTAGAGAGATACTTGCTGAACATGCTAAAGTGGCCATGATGGTGTTTATGGGAGGTATAGTAGTCTATGACAAGAACACAGACTTTTAGAATCAAGCAGACCTGGGTTTGAACTTTGGCTACACACATCTTATTTCTGGGTAAGTCACATAATCTCTCTGAATCTAGTTTTTGAATTCAGAGTTGGATTGATGATATATAAGGGAAGGGAGTGACAGTTACCCTCTGACCTAGAAAGGAAGAATATTTTGCCTCTAAATTGCTTCCAATTGTTGCTCGGTGGTGAAAATCAGACTTAGATTCTGCTGGTTTTATTACTGTGTTTCAATATCCTAAAGACTGTGCGTATTCTTTTTGCCTGACTCAGTGGACTGTGCTTAGTCACTGCCTGTGTTACTGCACAGGGATGATCTTATGTACGTGAGAAAGCTATGTGAAGTCCCAATGGAACAGTGTTAGCAAAGCCACCCACGCTGTGCTGTGCCGTACACATGGTTCTCTGACATTCACTCAAGAGACTCTGACTGAACACCTACCATCTAGCCCTGTGCTGGATGTTGGGGATATAGTTGCGAACAGGAGAGGACCCGCTTACTAAGTAAGAGAGCAAGTGTTTATTACAAGGAAGCGCATAAGTTTTTTTTTATTTCCTTTGTTAAAATATCAGTTTTTTGTTTGATTTGTCTCTAGTTTTTGCAGAAGTCAAAATTGGTTCACATGAGTATAGTTGTATTTATCTTCCTTTATGCTAGTTTAGTTAATAACACCATATTTGGTTAAAATGTTAATCTGAAGGTATCCTGACAAATAATTATGAATATTATCTGTCTTCTCCTTACATTTTAAAATAATAGCTTTACTGATATATAATTCACATATGATACAGTTCAGTCAGTTTAGTGAACAATCTAGTGCTTTTAAGTCTCTTTACAGAATTGTGCAACCAGCATCACTGTCAGTTTCAGAACATTATCAGCCCAAGAAGGCACCTTACTCATTAGTAATCTCTCACCAGTTGTCTCTCATCACCCCAACCTTAGGCAACCACTAATCTACTTTCTGTCTCCATGGATTTGCCTGTTATGGACATTTCATATAAATGGAATCATTCGACATGTGATCTTTTAAAAATTGGCTTCTTTCACTTACTGTAATGTTTTCAACATTCATCTAAGTTGTAGCATGTACTCATACTTCATTTATTTTATTGTTGAATAATATTCTATTGCATAGATATTTTATTTATTTATCCATTTATTAGTTGATGGACATTTGAGTTATTTCTACCTTTTGGCTGTAACGAACTGTGAATATAACAAGTGTTTTCTTTAACATGTTTTCATTTATCTTGGTTCTGTATGTATGAGTGGAATTGTCTATATCGTGACCCCAGTTGGTCGTTCTATATTTCATCTTTTGAGAAACTGAAAAGATTGTCTTGCAAAGACTTCACATTGCTACCAGAAGTATATGAGCATTTCAGTCAAACTGAAATGTTCAGTCAAGACAAAAGATGTCAAGCATCTTTCCATATGCTTGTAAGCTATTTGTATATCTTTTTTGTAGAAATGTTTACATGGATCTTTTGGCCAGTTTTTAATTAGGTTGTTTGCCTTCCTTTCCTTTTATTTTGGCCTGAGCAGGATGCTGATATGCTGACTGGTGATGAGCAAGTATGGAAGGGAGTGCAAGAATCCTTGAAGAAAATTGAAGAACTGAAGGCACACTGGAGTATCCTTTCACCTGTAAGTTGAGCTGGTCTCTAGGGATTACTTCTTTATTGTTTAAAGCTTGACATTAAGGAGGCCAACAGTGAGATTTGATTTTTCTGTAGGGTTCATTCTATTCCATGGCCATACACTGCATCTCTGGGCCCAGCTACGGATTTGGGTAATGGCTGGGGAAGAGTGTAGTAAATCAGCATGAATACCTTACTCCCACTAGGTAGAGTGGCCAGGAAGAGCAGGAGAGAAAGTGGTGGACTCTATATGCACATGTACATGTACGGTCCCTTGCCTCCTACAACCACCTTCATCTCTAGGAAAGAGTAGTTCAGGATCTTTATAATTTAGTACCATTGACCCTCAGACAGAAGCATCAGAATGAATCAGCATGGCTACAGCACCAATGGGAGTTGCTGCATAATACATTTTCTTGAAAGTAGTAGGTCTGAGTTCATTGGAAAGGGAGAAGAGCATATGATGGAAGTCACCTGGGAAACTCCACTGATGTTTTACTATATAAAAAGTGTCCCAAGTCAGGGACAAGATAGGATAGGTAAAGGCTGAGTGGGGAGTCACTCCCAATGGAGAATTTCAGTTCAGCAAAAATATGACAAAGGAAAACTACGGGTAAGAAAGAGATGAAAGAATGAAAAAAGATTATAAAAGGTCATCAGATGTTTTGGCTTAATTATGTCCCAGGAAAAAAAAATTCTATAAATAAGGTTTCTAAACAGCAAATAATATTTTAAAAATCATTGTAAAGGACAGGAAAGGTAGCTCAATGGATGTTTCTGCTTCTAAAGGTAAAATATACAATTTTGGAAATTATAGTCCACTGAGTTTTTTTTTAGCAGTCTTACTAAAAAATCTACTGTTGTTGACTAAGGAATAGAAAAGAGAACTGCGATCACTAGGATGCTATATGGATTCACTAAGAGAAAATATAGCCATAGAGTAATGTTTTTTTGGTAAAATTTTTATCTAAATCTCATAAAGGGATCTACAAGGAGAAGTAAAAAATTTATGATAGATACTAGCAGAACCAGGTGTCTTACTAAATGGTCAAATAGCTGTACTGAAAGAATGATGCTGATTGGATCACTGTCACTCTGGAGTGTTTTGTTCTAATCTCGGGCCTCTTCAGCATTTAATCCAGTACATTGTGTCAGCTTTCCTGTCACTGGAACAAAATACCCAACACCCACAACTTAAAGGAGGAGAGGTTTATTTTGGCTCACGGTTTCAAGGGATTTGGTCCATGTTTGGCCAGCTCCAAGGCAGCAGTTGCCAGGTGGAAGGACCTGGTGGAGGAAAACTGCTCACATCATGATGGCCAGGAAACAGAGAAGGGAAGAGCTGGGAACAAGAATATACCCTGCCAGGTCATGCCCCAAGTGACTCACCTCTTCCAACCAGGCTCCACCTCTGAAGAGCACCTTCAGCTACAGACTCACCAGTGAGTTAATCTCCCCATGATTAAATAGCCATCTCTGAGACACATGAGACTTTTGGGGGACATTTTAGTTGTAAACTGTAATACCCTGAATAAAGATTCAGAGTACAGGCTTATCAAATGTCCAAATGTGTGTAGATGGGAAGGACAGCAGAATTGGGATGATAGAATTAGTAGTTCAAAAGATTCATGAAAGTTTAGTGTCTGAGCTTCAAAAGATGAAATTTGACAAGAGTTTATATAAAATCTTCTATTTGGGTCAAAACATCCAAGTGTAAAAATATGCAGAAAGCTAAACAGCAGAACATGTGAAAAAATTTTGGAGCTTTGATAAACAGCAAAATTTAATAAAATATAAGACTGTGATATAATTCTCCAGATGATGACTGTGATGTTACGATGTATTCTGGGAAATACAGTATATACACTGAGAAAGGAGATAATGTTGATCTGGTCATAGCTGGAATTTTACATTCAGAATGAGGTAGGACACACTAAGAAGGGTGTAGGAAGGTTGAAATAAGTTTTCAGGAGAGGAACCAGAGCCAAGGAAAAATCTGAAACCTTATCTATAAATTGGATGGAAGATAGCAGGGAAATAGCCAGCTCTTTGAGCAAGAGATCCATGTCTATGGGCTTACAGGGCCATTACACTGAGAGTACAAGATGTGTTCTCTGGGATCCCATGTGGCAGATTTAAGGTCCGTGAATGATCCAGCTACAGTTCAATCTCAACTGTACAAAGTTTTACCAATAACTGACTGTACTAGATACCTTGTTGGTCATAATCCACCTTATGACCTAGGCACAAATTAGAAGACACAGTCCCACACTCACAACTCTCATAATGTAGTAGGGCAGTAAACTCTAGATTAACACACATTGTTCTTTGGATGAGTATCATCCAAAGATCCTTATGTAAAGGCTTAGCCCCCAGAGAGGCAGTGGTAGGAGGTACTGTGGACTTCTAAGAGGTGGGGCCTGTAGAAGTCCTTAGGTAACCGGCGTTATGCTCTTGAAGGAAACTATGAGATCTTCCTTTCTCAGTGTCTCTCTGCTTCCTGCCTTGAGGTGTGAGCACTCTGACATGTGTTCCTGCCATTGCCATCAGTGCCTTCACGAGAGACCAGTCTTGGACTTGAGCCTCCAGAACCACAGCTAAAATAAACCTCCCTTCTTAAGTTGAGTGTGTCAGGTATTTCATTATAGTGATGCAGAGCTGACTAATACAGTACCTACTTTGGGCAAGATATATATTTATTTCTAGGAGCATCAAAAATAATAGCATTCAGCTCTTGGAGATTAAAGGAAGTTCCACAGAGGAAGTGCCAGCTGCTGACCTGTGCCTGGGAGGATTAGTAGCTATTCATTAGTAGGCCAGCAGCGAAAATGGGAACCAACAAAGGGAGTGACTGTGCAGACAACAGCACAAGATGGCATGTTGAGGGGAGATGGCCAGATGTTCAGTACTAGAGGAAGGGAACATGGCAAGCCTAGCAGCATGCACAGGTTAGGGTTTTTAGGTGAGAGGGAGTCCCAGGATGATGCTAAGCAGGAAAGTACATGAGTACATGTGTAAGAGCTCTGTGTTCTGACAGTCTTTGAGTCTCAACAAGTTGATTAAGTCCCAAGTGAACCAACTTTGCTTCCTTTTCTTTTTTCCCCTAATCCTCTTATAGTCACTTAAAAGTAATCAGAAAAAAAAGGTTATCTCTCCTGCCCAGGGTGATTTGTTTTCTATGGGTGGGCTCTCTGGGCCCGCTGATCTCTGCCCTCTACAAAACAGTGACTGGCAGTGAATACCACACAGATACCGACGACTAAATCTTTGTGCAAATACACATCTGTACTAGCTTTGGGGGAAAGCCTCTTAGTTAAAATTACTCAGTTTTCTCTCGCTCACTTGGGTGTTTTGCAAGAGAGGTTTCGCCTTGTTTGCCAGGAGACGTCTGCCAATGTTGTGGAGGGAAATTGGCATGGAGCCCTTCCTCACTTGTGTAGGATGCAGTACATGTGTTCTATGCATAACTGCCGAACATCTCATCTTGTTCCAACTTCTAAGTCTTGTCACCTCAGACTTCTTTAGAATGAGTTGCAATACATAGAAATGAGTAGACAAAAGTGGAGGTCAAACAACACAATGTTAAAGTAAGGTGGAAGTCTTGCCACAGAAATGTCTAGCATTTTGTAAGAGACAGCCATTCCTCCTGACAGTTCGTCAAATATCTAATCTTGGAATGAGAAGCCACAGAGGTTAACCCAGCAATCTGTTACAAAATCAGTGCACTGCCTAAGATACCACATCCTCCAGCCTCTGGAGAATACATTCAGTAAACTTTAAACATCTGTGTCAGATGACTGCAAAAGAAAATCAGTAACCCACTTTTTTTTCCATAAATGGGCCCCTTTGGGGACCAGAACCAACTCCTGAGAGCCAGGGCTCACCCTAAAACAATAGGGGTCTTGGGCACTTGAAATCCCCACCAAGGAAGTCATGCTTTAGGGGGAGGTGTTCTGCCCCACTGAAAGGGAAGTGTATTTCCCACGAGAGTTCGTGAAGTTATTAGCCCCAGTCACACAAGTGGGCTGATTGGATTTGCTAATTTTCCAAGCATTTTGGAAAGCAGCACTCTCAGGAGACAGGTACTAGAAAGGTAGATTTTGCTGGAGAGAGGGCTATCTATGGGAGCTGCTCAGGGCAGGAATCACTGTGTTAGGACAGCAGTGGAGGGGCTTAAATTAGAGGGAAGGGTGAGCACTGGGCTGCTAGGAGACTGGGTCATGTGGAACTGAAGGGGTACAGGACTTCCATCAAGCCAGGTCCACTACCCCCCTTTTCCTTAAATCTACTCATGACCAAAAGGAAGGAGGAAGGCCCTGGTGTCTGTGCAGCATGTACTTTGTGCATGCTACTAAATGTTTTCCTGGGTGTCCATGACACGCAGAACTCTGCCTAGTTCATGTTAGAACACATGAAGAGTATTTTTGTTTTACATACAGTGCCTTACTTAATTCTTACTGTAACATTAGGCATTTTTTATTTCTGGCCTATCTCAAAGCACTGCATTCTCAGAACCTCAAATCTGACAAATGTCAGAACTAGCTAAGATTTGAATCCAGCTTTATCCACAACCAAAGGGTATGCCATTTCTGCTATATCTGAAATCTGCAGACATTCCCCCCCCACCCCCCATTGGAATCCAGCATATGAAAGCAGATGAATGTAGTGTGCCTGAGGTGGCGGTGGATCCGGACATGGGAAGGGCTGAGCTCTGTCCAGCATTCTTCTGGGCTCCACCCAGCAGGTATAAAGCAGTGCGGCAGAAACCCTGCGACCTCCCAGGGTCATGCACCCTTTCCCTCAGCTGTGCTTGTGAGGTAAACACCCTCAGCACACCAGGTTCTCATCCTCTGATTGCCTCTGGAAGAGGCCTGAAAAGGAGTCAAACACAGTGATGCTCCCCTGTCATCCCACCTACTCTGGAGGCTGAGGCAGGACAATCATTTGAGTCCGTGAGTTGGAGAACAACCTGGTCAATATAGCAAAACTTCATCTCTTAAAAAAGAAAGAAAAAGTGAAGTCACACATAGGCTCTACGAGTTTGAGTCATTAATTCATGGTTAATGAGGAAGTCCGTATTGCTGAGGAGACATTGTGCCTTCTCATTTTTTTTAAAGTATCATTTCTTCTTGCTTGCAATTTATGTGCAAGCCATGTTCTTGATATTTCTTTAAGGGCCTAAAATAATACCTTTGTTTGATCAAGTATAGATTTAGATCACTTTTGCTTTATAATTTGAAAAATTAAATGTAAGATCCAGTGGAAATGAATTTCTTCAAATTGCTGCCCCTCATGTGTGTCTGTGGGTTGTGTGTGCTTTTAGTGTCATGTATTCCCAAAGTCTTAAATGACACAGAACCAGTCATATGCTCTTCCTTCTGCAAAAGGAATCTCTCTAAAACTTCTTTAATTTCAGATCAGTTTTTAAACAGAAGCCAACAGAGTAACTAAATCTTCAGTCCATTTTAATGAACTGCTTCCTTCATTTTATGACTAAGTTTAAAGAGAAAGTATGTATGAGAGTGAAGAAAGAGTGGTTCTTTGAAAAATTTAATCTCCCAAAGTACAGGCTTGGTTAGAAGATGGTTTGTTAATGTAAACAGAATTTACTTCACTGAGATGCCACTTACATGTTTTTGTTTGTCAAGTATGTTTTCAGGCAGCTCATCTGTGCAAAATAATGGGCGCTTCCTTCCCTCCTGGGCCTGGGAGCTCTTCAGCCTTTTTAAGAATCTCATTTTACTTTTGTGTTTTCCTGATGAAGACAATGAATCCTTAACTAAGGTTAATAACAGAGTGGGAGCAGGTTCTGGCCATGTGCCAGTCGATCATAAGCAGCAACTCTGAACGGCTTCCTGATATCAACATCTACCAGCTGAAGGTGCTCGACTGTGCCATGGATGCCTGCATCAACCTCGGCCTGCTGGAGGAGGCGCTGTTCTACGGCATCCGGACCATGGAGCCCTACCGGTGAGTCCCAGGGCGAGGGCCGAAGGGTGCCCTAGCATGTCTGCACTCTAAGAAAAGGACACCTGAAGTCTTTCTGATTACCATCTTATTTCAGGTGCTCCCAACTTGCTTTATTTTTTATTTGTTTTACTTGTTCATTGTTTTATTCACTCCTTTGTTCATTTACATATGCATTCATTTGCCACTTGTAAAGCTCCTTTAGGGAGTCAGGCACTGTGTCTGTACAGAGACTAGAACTGTCTCCGTGTGGAGCAGATGATCACTATATGATGTGGTGCTGGCACTGACAGAGGCAAGCATGGGGCGCCAGAGACAAAACACAGCTCAGACGTGGTATAGGTGGACCCTGTGTCCTTCAGCCTCTGCTGGTCCAGGTGAAGGTATCCAGCGTGGCGTCGGGCCTCTGCCTGACCGAAGTGATGGTCCTTTCTGTGTATTTGTCAGACTCGATGGTTCCCAGAGTGCTTTCTCTTGAATCGTTTGCTTTCATAGCTACCTTGTGACCCAGGCAGGAGAGCAGGGACTTTGCCTTACCCAAAGGGTCACCAAGTCAGGTGATGCAACTGTTGGTGATTCACATTTCTTGACTGGCCTCAGCTCCTCCAGATGAGCGGGAACTTTGCCCCAGAGGTGCTTGTAACTGGGAGGAGCTCTGGGAGAGAGGGCAGTGTTAAAATGGAGTTTGGCACTCATAGGTGTGAGGCCTCAGTTTGCTGTGGGTTGAGAACATAAGTGTAGAAATCAAGGCTGAGATCAGAGAGGGAGAATACAGAGATATATGAACTCTATCAGTGGTGGCAAACCACAGCTGACTGTTATCATTGAAAGCACTAAAAGATTTGCCATCCCGGAACTATAATCTGAGATTTCGATAAGCCAGACTCAGAGCAACACCACTGATAAGAAGGTACCTAGAAAAGCACTTGGGACTCAGAGGGGACCCTGGAGAACAAGAGCACCATTCTGGGAAGATATTGAATTCCCCACCATGGAAATGGTATCAGCCAAAAGAGGCTAAGCAGAGGGAGAACCCGGGTCTAGACCTGTGTGGCATGGGACAGCAGGCGGGGAAATAGCTGTAGGGGGTCAGGGCGGAGCTTGGAGTGCTCCCCGCCCTCACAGGAGGAAAGAGCCTCTGGAGAGAACTGGCAGAAGTGAGCAGGATCCACATGACAGGAGAAGTGAGTCCGGACTCTGGGACATTAGTGCAGATGAAGGTAGGATACCAGAAATGAGGCACTTGGCCAGGAAGCCAGGCCTGGCCCGGGAGCTTGGTGCTGACAGAGAAGATCCCAGAGATGGCAGGGGCCCATCAGTCAGCTAGTGGCAGCAGTGTGACCCTGCGGGTATTTCCAGACTTTTGTAGGGAGTTCCTTTCACTGCTTTGTGGGTGAACAGCTTTGGAATCCAGACTGTGAGTCAGCTTTAATCAAACTTACAAGACGTTGCCTTGAGGGATGAGACTGTAGACTTTCCCATGAGCAGTGAATTATCTATTCAGTATGATGAATCTTGCAGGTTCTCAGAAAATATGAATTGAATACGGAGAGATAAGGCCTCCTTCTCAAGCCTCAGTGTTGCAACAGGCAGGTTGGGGTGGCTGGCATTACCTCTCTGGGAGCTGGCCCTGGTCTTGGAAGCCCAGACCCCTGGCTTCCGGACGAGTGGATGGATTCCAGCTGGGAGCTGCAGATGGGGAAAGTCCTCCCCTCAGGCCTGTGGCAGCCGCCAGCCACACTCTGATGCCTCATCCTCCCCTTGTGCCTGAGTAGGCCACCCTGCTCAGGCCACTCGAGGCATAGACATTTTAAACCTGTCTGCCACTTCCATAAAGAAGGCCACATACTTTCAAGAATGTCCTTTCTATATGTACTTTTTTATTATTTTCTTGGTACATTTTAGGTATACAATATGATGACATTCATCATTGGAAATTTACACCTTTACATAATTTCTCTTGGTTCTTATTTCTTCCTCATTCCCCTGCCCTCCCTTCAAATCTGCTTCGCACCTGCTGAGGCTTCTTGAAGCTCGACCTCACCCCTTAATTAATTGACAGTTTCATTGACACTGGAGTCTGACAAAAGGGCCTTTTTTTAGGAGCAAGCCCAAGTCCTCAAGAATGTACTCCCTGATGTATGGAAGGCACTCGGTTATGTTTTCATGGTGCTCGGCAGGGCACGTTGTCTCTGTAAATGTGTACTCTGTTATTATGTGAGGTGACAAATTTCCAAGCCTCCTTTGGTTTCTCTTCCCTCGGGCTTATTAAGGAGTTTCTCTACAGTGTGCTGCATTGATCTACTTCAAGTGAGTGGGATTTGAATCCTTTCTGTCAGAAGTGTTATAGAGGAAAAGAATATAAATAATCCAGACCAAATAAAGTTAAGAGAAATGGGAGCAGTAGTTGCTGGCACATTTTGCCCCTGTTCCCTGTAGCTAAAGCAGAAATGAAAATAGGTAATAACTGTATACAAATGGGCCAGATGCCCTACCAGCCCTTCAACAATCTTAGGACACCAGGTAGAAGTGTGGGAGCTGGCAGTGGCATGAGGGAATTCACACTGGTGCTATCAGCTCTCTACACCGTCGCCCTGCAGCAGCTGATCTAGGTGGTCTTTTTGCTTACCTTTAACCAAGGACATGGACATTAGCTTGGCCTGGGTTACCTCGAGGTGACTGGATTGCCATGTGCTGTAACAGTTTTACAGTGTTGATATACTGTGCAGTGCCTAGATCGAGGTCAGGTCTCTAGTGTGTGTTTTGTCACTTCTGACTTGGGCTAAATTTTAACTGCTGACCTTAGAGGACAAGGGTGCATATTCCATTTTTCTTATCCAAATCACTGCTCTTGGCTCCTTTCTTGTTACTATGTCATTTATTTTTACTCAATAGATTTTACTCAATTTTTATAATGCAATTTAATATTAGATTTTTTTCTGTTTCATAAAACAAGTCGGAAATAATTCATATACAGTGAAAGATATAATCTTTAGTATTAGCTTATATCTTCTGGGAGTATCTGTGTATATATTTGAGAAGTATAAACAAAAGTGGAAAAATAGGGTCTGATCTAACAATGGTATATTCTGGAGGTGAAATTGTGGATTTATTAAAAAGAACGAGGTAGCCATTCGGAGTTCATCTAGACATGTGTCTGCACTCTGCTGAACAGTGAAGAAAGCAAGTTGCTCTCTGAATCAAACAGTGCTCTAATTAACATTTATGACGTTATCTTTGCACTGCTGGGACTGAATCCGTATGGTAAATCCATATGATAAATGTCAGCTAACTGCGTCATAAGCCATACTCATTTTAAATTTGAATGCTGTCATCAAATTGTGCCTTCCACTCTCCAAAATGTCAATCTTTCCTCAAGGGAGTATGAGAAAAGATGACATCCACTGAATTTTATCATACCTGATCTAAATTCATTGCAAAATACAGTGGACCCTTAATTTACAGACTCAATCGGTTCCCGAGGGCTGGTTGTAACTAAGTGAATACAGCTGAGATGTGAATGTTTAACTGGGTATAAGCTATAGATAACAAGAAGCAGATGAATCTTCCATTAACCTAGTTAACCCAAGTTGTTTGTCAGGCCGGTCTTAACTTGAGGGTGCACTGTATGCAGGGCCTTCTCCTTTTCCTTGATCAAAGCCTGCAGTATGGGATGAGATTTGTTCATATTTGTTCATGTTGATGCTGTCCATAAACAGTATTTTTGTGGCAACAGGAATGACATTTCTGTGAGGTACCTGAGAAAGATGCAGAAGAACAAGAATGTTGAGGAGATACACAAGTTGTGGCCACACATATCAGTGGTGCTGTGGTCAGAGAAAGAGGAAAAGGAGAAAACCCCCCAAGCAGGAGAGAGCTGTAAGAGTAAGATTTCATCTCAGATAGTGTTCTGTACTTCATTGTCAGAAAAACCAGGGCTGGGTGGGAAGAACAGAAGTAAAATGCAGCTGGCAGTTTGTGGCCATGACATGTTTACAAGTCAGGTGTTTGTAAGCTAGAAATTGCCTGTAATTACATAGCAGCCACATCAGTTTTCATTTTGCCAGTAATTTTTTAACTTTTCCCTTGGAAGCTTTGGTGGATCAGTTGATAAAATGTAAGGTTTCATCACAGTGGAATCTTCTACTAATTTCAAGCTGGCTTTTCTTCTGAAGGCCTACAATTGCTCTTTTGTGGGTACTTGTCATCAATCAATGTGGCTTTCAAGTACAGGAGCCAGCAGAACTTGCCAGGTGCACATTACAGTGGTGAAACCCTGGGTGGTGCCTCACCCAGCACCCACAGCTCCTCTTCTCCATGTGTTACCTGGGTGTGGTGGGGATGTTTGTGTCCATGTATCTGGCACTGTCACTCATTTCTATGGGGCAGATAGGGTCCTCAGCTGTGGTACCCAAGTTAGGACTTTCCTAACCAGGTGCACAGAGTAGGACCTAAGGATCACTCAGAGCCAGTTCTCCACCCAGAAGAGGAAACAGCCCCTGAACTTCACCCCGAATTCTTCTTCCTTTGGTTGTCATTCATCTTCTATGGTGAGGTTTATATAGCTATTTCACCCAATAATGAACATATGTTCTATTGTCTGCTTATTGATGTGCGCAGTAATCCTTTAGGCACTTAATTGTTTTCTTTTCACATCGTAGTTTTCAATTAAGTATCTTTGGTGGCAGAACCCCAGTTCAAGATTTTGAGCTCACTCTATGTGGTGTGTATGTGTATAACACTGAGTTACCCGGCAAATCTAAACCAGGGCCTCTTTCTGTTCACTGTCACAGACATTTGCCCGATGATGGGGCAGGGGGGTCCAGCAAGGCATAAGGGTGGTAAATTTAATCTTTAGTAAGAGAATTTTAATTTGATTCTAAAGGGTAGGAGAGAGTCTTAATTTAGATTCTAGAAATAGAACAAAAGGAAACAGTGAAGAAGGTGAAAGAGGAAGGAGAATTAGGTGATGATGACTAAGATTCAGTGCATAAATGTTATTA